TCGGTCGCACGACTGAAAAATCGTCATCGAAGAAAAATATATTTACAATTTTTTGGGCGCGCACTAGCGATGAATTAGTAGTAACTACATTTAGTACCATCATGGATTTGGATCGTAAAGTTATTAGAGTATTTCCAGGACGAGAATGAAAACAGCGCTCCCCTGTGCGTACTGGAGAGAGTGGCAGATGCGCTGAAGATTGAGATCCGCCCATGGTACGGAGACTAGATCTGCTTACCTATTTCATATGGTGTTGATGACGTAACCGCCAAGAACGGAGACTACAACTATACTAAAATAATAAGAAAATTGTTGATTAAAGCTTAAAATACATACCATATATTATATAATATTTTATTGCAAAATTGCATAGATATGATCAACTTGGCATTTGAGTTATTTTCTGAGCGGAAACAGATTGTTGTGGACCCTGATCCATTGATGAAGAGGCGATGATGTTTCTGTTTACGATTCTTTAAGGAGCAGAGCAAACTTTTTGTGATCAGGTTATCTGTTGTTGCGATCTCCAACGTGTAGATTCTACTCAGGTTCAAAATAAATGCAACAAGCTAAATTATATATTTTACCTCGATTTCATTGATATTTTTCGGCAGGTGGTAGGTACACTCATTGTGTAAATATGAGTTCTTGATTGTCGTCACGGTTTGACATGTAAATCAAAATGATGACCGCAATACTTTTTATTGTCAAGAACCACATTTTCTCTATAATCTGGTTTTTTACTCACGTCAACATGTATAAATGTGGAAGTTTTAGAGGCCTCTTTTCATATCTTTTATTAATCCCAGTACTAATCCTAAATGTTTTTCATCAAATTGTATAGAAATACGCCTTTGTGCGTTAGGTTCCCATTTTCTTATATCTTCATTGAGTCACAGCACATAGCGACTCAAAGTTGGGGTAATGAAACGTCATTTTGATTTATCCTGTACAAGTCAAACCGTGACTACAATCAAGAATTCATATTTACATAGTACAGCCAATGAGTGTACCTACCGCCTGCCAAAGTATTCAACGGAATCGGGTACAAAATTAAAAGCTTGAAGTTACGAATTTGACCAAATTTGGCTTGTTGCGTTTATTTTGATCATGAGTGTATTCACATCCTTGAAGGCTATTCCATCCTGTTGGAATCCCATTGTACATATGGTGCTGGTCTCTATCATGTGGTCCAACTTCCGATCCCGATGTGAAAAAGGCTTTTCCCAAACGTTTGCTGGAAAAGCTGGCCTTGGAACCCAGGACAGATAAAGGTACTAAAGTACTAAAACCTGTTATCGTCGATACTACTATTTAAAGGCTGTATAGTCAGTATCCCGACACACGTTTTTAGTTTAGATGAAGTTTATGAAAATTGTTGTATCTATGTAAGATGCATCCATTTCCATAATATGTATTCTTAACAATGACGCCCCTTTTTGGCAACAATTGAACGGAATTCAAAATCTGTAATAGTTGATATTAAAATTAATTGGAAAATATAACATATGCAAATAATATCTTTTAATTTAGGTACACAAAAATTAGAATATTCAAATATTAGATACATTCAACTAAAAACAGTAATCTATGCTGCACTATATCTCACGTTTACGATAACCAAAGAACACTAATATTCAAATGAAAGTGTAATATATGTAAAAAAAAATAGTATAACTGTTGAAAATATTTCCAGGTTTACAGAATTGTCATGTCTGACTATCATGATTAACAATTCATCCATATTGCACCTAGCCGCATATTCAAAAATTCTTAAAAAATATTTATATTATTGTTTTCAGTTTCCTTGGAGATTTTGCGTTACAATCCCCAATTTTGTTTGTAAAAATGACATTAACCTGTGTGTTATAAAAATTAATATTACGTACAAACCCATTTTGCAAGGGGTTAATTATCCTAGTGATTTTAATCATATTCTAACATTATAATGTTATAATTCTTTATTAACTACACTTGGATACACAGTAGTATATAAGTTTTAAAAATATGTAGATAAAATGCATAACAACATAAATAAAAATCAATGTAATTATAACAATACCATCTTTACGTACTCAGGGTTGCACATTCCATATACTACTATGTTATAAAATGCGCTTAAATCGAAAATAATTACAGACCTGCTGTATTTTAACTGGTAATTTATTATATAACTTGATACAGTTATTGTACGGTGATTCTTTGATCTGTGTTGTTGTATGTGTATGGATCATTTTTAAATTTTGATTTCTAATATTGAAATTTTGTTGAGCAGTATTTGGGAATAGGCTATTATATTTCTTGATATATATCTTAACGTAAGTTACACATTTCAAAATGTAAATACACTGTAAAGTATGACTTTTTGGTTATACAAAAATTTCTCTTTATGGGTCAAGTGGCTTCAATCCAAAAATTAAACTGACGATTTTTGTTTGCCAATAATCACTCAATCAATTTCGGAAAGTTTCTCCCATAACTTGCTGTTATAAGACATATGGTTATGAGCCAACGCATAATATACATTCGTAAAGGTCTTTTTATTTAGGACATCTTTCAATTGTAAAATCGCAAAAGATGTTTTACTTAAATCTTGACATATGTGATCTATACATGGTGGCCCATTCATGTGTGGACGGAATATTACTCATAAACAAATACATTTTGGGAAAATCTATTTATGGGATGTTATACACGACATTTGAGGGCACATTTATAAAATATTGGACATCATACAGGGTGTCCCAATTTCGACCTACATATCAAAGTTGTGATTTTTAAAATTGAATGCCTCAAATTTTATTGCATATTTGGATAAACCAATTCAAAACAAGAAAATTGATATACATATTATGGGGTTCTGGTAATTAGCTACTGAGATATAAGGTGTTTTGTCTAGAAAAACCCCTCAGTCCGCAATTTTGAAATTTGGAGTGCTGAATTTTGTATCGAAAAAGACGTACACACCTCAGCTTTTATCTTATTTGTTAATTTTTCAAATTTCAATTTTTGCTCATACAGGGTGGTCAAAAACGCAGATTGTAGTTTTTCTCAAAAATTTCAAACGCATCACCATGTATATTTGTGCAAGTTTGGATTCAATTTTTTATAAGCTCTTTTTTATACTAGACACATAATGGCTTCTACGGCTATTTTTTCGGTTATTAGCAGGTCTTTTATGGAACGGCTTAATTCCCTAAAGTATCGCATCATTCTTGGAAACAAATAAATTGTTGATTAGTTACAAACTGTCAACATTAGCTTTGTGAGCATTATAATAAATACGTGCTTGAAAGTGAATTTTTCTAAACAAGAAATGATGAATATGGTGTTCGTTTTGGGCGAAGCCCAAAGAAATAGTTTCCCAAGCATCTCGTATTTATAAGCAACGCGACATCCAAGGCCGGAAAAATTTTCTATACTACGAGAACGTTTTGAATCAAGTGGAGCAGTGGACTATAGTAAAAAATGTATAAATAATCCAAGTGTCACCAATGAGACGAATCAGTTGGGGGTTCTATTAAAGTTGCAGGAAAATCCTCATTGAAGTGCACGGCAAATTGGAGCAGAAACTGATATATGCAGAACTTCTGTCCAAAGATTTATTGACAAGCATAGGTACCATCCATATTACCTATGCTTGCATCAAGGCCTTCTTCCTCAGGATTTTGCAGCTCGAATGGAGTTTAATAGAATAATGCTAAATACAGTGAGTGAAGACACTACTTTCCAGGATATGGTTCTTCTTAGCAATGAGGAAACTTTTAACAGCATAGGTGTTGTCAACAGGCATAACATGCACTATTATGCGACGGAAAACCATTACTGGGTTAGGCAAATAGATTTCCAAAATAAATGGAGCTTGAATGTTTGGGGAGGAGTTATCGGTAGACAAGTTATCTTTTTCGACAAAAGATTCACAGGTACAGAATACTTGAATTTTTTGATCGAGCACTTGTCTTTGCTTTTGGAGAAAACTATTTGGACACCTGGAGTAAAAATCGTTGGATCGGTCATGATGGGCCTATATCTTGGCCTCCTAGTTCACCAGAGATGACACCGATGGACTTCTTTCTATGAGGCTACGCTAAGCAAGAGGTTTATAGGTATCTACTATCTACCTCGGAAAATATGAAGGAAAGGATCAAGTATGCTTTTCTGAACATAAGGGAACACATGCTGAGGGACGTGCAACGGTCATTTATCCAAAGACTACGGCTGTGTATTTAACATGGTGGAGATATTTTCGAGCAGTTTTTGTAGATTAGGTCTTGAGTAGTGATAGTTTTGTGTTTATGTTGTTGTTATAGTTGCTTTTCTATATTACGCTTGAAGCTGATTTATACTGTTCTGATTGTTATTAGTTTTGACGTCAAATGTGTACTCTTAGTTTCAATATGGAACTAGCCCACCGTTTGTCTTTTGTTTCCATGGATGAATTATTATTTTATATTATTATTATTTTTACGAGAACAATGCACTCTATGAAAAAAACATAAGAGTATTTATTTGTAGAAAATTGGAGCTATAATTCGAAACATTGCGCGTTTCCGGAAAAAACAGTGGCGTACTATTTTTATTTGAAAAGAATAATACCACTAATCCTCTGTATCTCCGCTACTGGTGTACGTTAATTTTAAGTAAAGACTTCTGAATGTGGAAAATACTTAGTTAAATCCACACACAAATTTTTTGTTTATTCCAGTTGATGGTTTTGAAGATATTGAACAAAATGTTTTTTATTTTTATACTTCAACACCCCGTATCTTTTTGTTAAATAAATGTTAAATAGCAGACCCCCGTTGAAACGCGGTCCTGTGTATGATGTTTCATTGTTGGTCACGACTTGTGAATCACCCTGTACGTTCATGAATATTTAGCTTATAATAAAAACATTATCAGGCTGACATGTATTATGTATTAGTAAGGTTTTATGGTGAATATAACTCTAAAAAAAATGTGGATATTCCAGCCACCGCTTTAATTTTATTTAACGGCAAGCAGAACATAAACATTTCGTAATGAGTAATGCAAAGGAAGTATTTTTTGGCCAGTAAGCAGTAAGTGCATGGTTTACAGTGAAGAATTTACTATATCCTCAAATGAATATCCACCGTATGTTAGCAAGATCATACTACTTTTGTAGCAAGACAAAAAAGTTTTACATTTTTTCAGTTATTTTTGGAAACATGTTTTGGAAAGCACATATTCAGTAACGACCTTTCAAAGTGATTGCTGTGAAATTTCTTATAAAAAATAATATGAGCTACGTCCTTTTCAGCCACTGAATATGAAAATCACCCTAAAAAATCATTCCAAATCAAATCCAAACAATTCAATTATGAATGGTCCATTACAAAAAATATGAATAATATAGCGTAATTCACCCGGAATGATATTTCCATGCTAATTTGAAATTTTGTTCCCATTGTTGTTACGAATGAGGACAAACTAATGAGAAATTTATCATGGTTAACCAATTTACGTGCGATTATAGACGCTCCCCTTTTTCATTAGGATGTAAATTTAATTTTAGTATTTAGTGAACATGCGGTGAAGATGTTGGGAAACACTAGCTGGCACAAGTCACCTTTTGGGAATCTCTGTTACCTTACAGATGCCTAATATTAAGACTAAAAACTAAAAAAAGTTTCATGCCCATTAGTATAAGAGAAGTCGATAAAATATTCAAGTCTCCAAATTATACCGTGTGTTTCAAATTTGACACTCACCATTGGGATCTTGGAACCGGTAAGTACGAATACGAAGTTGGGCTGACGCTGCGCATTTAACTAAGAAAATGACACAGAATATTTGGCACTGATACTATTTCTGGAAACTGATGAAAAAAAAAAACAAACAAAAATAGTTTTTATTTAAGATGGGACTTCAAAATACCATTACCACTTTTCTCGTCTACAATGTAGGTATGACTTATTAAGATGATGTTTGGTCTGCTGTTCAATCATCCACATTCTTAGGACTCCATTGCCTGTCAAACCGTTTAAATATGTTTTAATTTCTGTTTGTTGAACGTTTCGACCACTACGGTAAACTTTTTCAAGCACAATGTCAATTAATGACAGGCTACCTTGGTGGCTGAGCCGTCGTCCAATAAACAAAAATTGAAGCATATATGTAACTTGATTTGAAAAGACAATGGAGCCATATGAATATGAAAACCTCAGGATAAGTTTCAGGACTTACCTTAACCAATTTTCTTTTTCCTTACGGACGTCATATGAGATTTTTGCTCAGGTTAATACAAGACTTTAATTCTAAATGTATATTGTCATACATCTTTGTTGTGAGACCATAATTGCTAACAAAAGCTGAATGAACTAAGTAGGATTTGAAATTGTTAGACGGTTATTTATATAATACCATCAGCCAAGCATTACTTCAGTTTTTATGAAATGTGTAAAGGTAAACAGCCCGCATTTGTGATTTTAATGATATGATATTGTACATACATATCATGACATGGACTGATATTATAAGACTCCAAATGCCAAACAGATAAAATTTCAGCAGTTGGTCATGACTAACGCTGCATCTTTCATATTATTTAAAGGTTGTAATGTAGTTGTAGTAATGAAACATTAAATATGCTTTAATTTTAAGAAACATTCCACAATAAGCAAAAACCTCGACGCTGTTGGAGCTTGATAAGCATATTTCATATCTGTCATATCTAAACCGATGCATGTAGTGAGGTTTCCTCACGTTAAAATAACGCTTGCTATCATTAGAGCAAGCTGTTCTCAAAGATCTTTAACTGATGTTATAATCGTACATACATGTACTGTCATGTCCAAAGCCGACTCTTAAAATTTTAGATTTTTCTTATATAATCAATGTTTGGCAATGCCAATGCATGACACGTCTTCGGAATAAGAATTAAAAACCCTATTTACTTCAAAATATGGCGAGCATAAGGAAAAATAAAATTGTGCAGATTATGCCACCTTGTAGCGGAGAAACATTGGCAATCTTATTGGGTACTTTATTTTGAAATCTTACTTTAAATAAAGTCAGGAGAAAACAAAAACGATTTTAGGAAAATTAGATCTTTCCGCCCTCGGAAATACTCTTCGCCACTATTTAACCGTCCACGTATCTCTCGTTTCCAAGATTCCAATGATGAGCGTCGAATTTGAAACAGCCGGTATACCATATTCAATTTACAATCATTGAAGCAGCTGTGATTTGTAGGAAACAGATGACACTGACTTATTATGAACGTTTTTACTAGATGTGGGAAGCACTCGGATGTTATTGCCCTCTTAGTTTTATAGATGTTTTATTACTTTTAAGAAAGTTTCAAAGTAATAAAATATAATAATGAGCCTCTTCCCCAATGCTTTCTAAAAATTAGGTAGCTTATGCAACACCGCATGAGCAAGACATGACAAGTAGTTTCCTTGGACACAACAAATACACAATTCACAAGAAACGTGAAGAAATAAGCATCGTTCTACTCAAAAAATACTCCTCATTTTAATGTGCCTTCAGAAGATGTACAAGTTCAGCCCTGACATACATCAATTTCTTTATGTAAGCTCTTTTTAGCAAGATGTTTTTCTATCACATTTATTTCGATAGACGCTGCTTCCGGTATAGAGGACCAAGCCTAGACCATGCTGATGAGTGGCCAAGAAGCATGAAACAGCTGTTCATGGTTGGCTGTCCTTTTGGTCGGAAGCATCATGTTTGGTATGTTTAAATGGTTTGCCTGCTAATTTGAGTTTCCTTATCTTTTATGAATTCGGAGGAGGTTTCAAAATAATAAAATAAATGATTCATATTGCTCGTTGACATCTACCAATTTCTTGTCAGCCCTGTTGAACAAGGTTTATTTAGTTTATTTCTATTAAAATAGGCTGCCAGACATTTAAATTTCTTAAAAATGAATTTTCGGTTGTTGAACTTCATTGTATTCCACTTTACACAAATTTTCTGTGACCAATCCTTCTTGTCTGTTTCTGCTTGGCTAATATGTCAGACGGATTGATTGATGATTTTTTGTAGAATATGTTCACTTTCTTATTCATTATTTTTCATTAGAACAACCATTAGTCCAAGAGAATGTCATACATTGAAGACGCCAAATATTTTTGGCTACATAACTTTTTGAGAGGGACATTTGAACGCATCATCCGTCTGTTCATATCAAATAACAAATTTTATAAAAATCTTTCAAATAAACAAGTTACACCAAACAGTGAAATTTGAATAGAAACATACGGGAACCATTGGGTGTGTCTTCGAAACGAACTGGATTTTCGAACACCATCAAGGAAGACAATAGTCTTAGAATATTTCAAAGAATTACACGTCGCTTTTTTGTCTCATGTAATATGTGTATAACTTGAAAAATTAGTAAAAATGATAATTTCGTTAGGCTAGTTTTCATTTGAAAGTGGTAAACTTTCTGTTTGTTTGTGGTAAAATAACCAGACTAACTCTTATAAAGTCTTTGATGCTGTTTAAATGACGTAAGCAAAAATAATTATTTATATGTACGCATATTTTAAGATTAAATACTTATATCTATCAAGTATCCTTGTCCAATTGATTGCACCTACATTTTAGCGAACTACTTAATGTTAAAAATGAAACTTGATTAAGTTATTATATTATATACGAGTATTTATGGATTATAGCTAGCTAATTCAATCATCAGAGCGTAAGACTAGGGTACTTGTCATTACGAATCAAGCGAGGTTCTATTCGATGTGCTCCCAAGGCCACTTCCTGGCTTCATCATCAGATCATCTCCATGTCATAATAATATTGCATTGTCAATTGTCATATTAAACGTCCGCCACAATATATTAGAATTACGTCACTTTGCTTATTATGTTTCCTTCATCAATCCCCCAAAATCGATGTTTTCCGGCGGTCGCCATATTGGGTCTAGAATGACTTCACCTTGCTTACTGTATGTCTTTCATCAAGCCCTTTATAACCATACCATAGGGGTAGATATAGAAATCATAAATGCCATTTTTCGGCAGTCGACATATTTGATTTGAAATGACGACACTTTGCTTCTTGTGTTTCTCTCAATCCTTTTTGTCTCATACCCATATTATAGGGGTGACTATGTAAATTGTAAATCGTCAAATGGCGACCTCCGTCATATTGGATTTAGAATAACGTCATTTTGCTTTTTGTCATCAGGCTCCTTCATTTGATGTATGATGATTTATGTAGCTTACCCCATATTAGATTCAACATGGAGGTAGTTAATTCACATGTACTAACGAACTGACATACTAACAGTTACTTGTACAAGCCTTGTAAAAACTGCCACTGTTAATGATTTATATTGAAATCCCAGCTCAAATTAAGCCAGAAGAAAATGAAAAAAGTTCAGGGTAAATTCGTATTTTCTGTCTCTCTAAAAATAATCTGAATTGTCAAAGAATCTAAGTAACATTTTATTAGTCACCTAAGTGCGAAGCTTTCCCGAATTTGAAATCCCTAATATATGAATCTACATGAAAAATTAATGTTAGTTTGCTGTATACTACGAGTATATGGTCCAAAAATGTTTCCTTACAAAAATGGAAATTAATTAATATTTTCAGAACCGCTTCAAATATTTCACTGATATTTAGTACGTTGGATATTTTTCAATGCAAAAATAATTTTTCGGTTTAACAGTCGCGTGTGTACGGGTATTGACTTCGATATTTTTTAAGAAAAAAATGGTACGCCAATAGTTTTTTGAATTCCCCGTTCAATTTAAAGTAAATGATCTCTCTTGAATTGTTTTCCTTCGATGCGGCATTTTTGAGTAAAAAAAATAAAAGCCGTTCTATTGTCCGAGAAAATTAATGTAATAATTGAAGAATGCAATTTAGCAATACATATCTAGTTGCTCTGGAATATGTCACTGGCTTTTGACATCTGTTCGCTGTGACATATTTTTCATTATTTAGTTCTTACAATCTTGTTAATAATAGTGAACTGTTCAAATGCAGAAATGGCGGAAATGCATTACGTATATGGCCTTGTCGACGGTAATAGTGAGCAAGCCAGACGGATTTATCACCAGACATATCCCGATCGTGCTTTGCCAGATAGTCGAACCTTTTCTAATATTCATCGTCGTCTTGTTGAAACTGGTTCTGTCCGAAAATGAACATCTGAAGGTAGACTTCTATGTGTGAGAACACCTGAAATTGAGGAAGCAGTGCTGCACGAAGTCGAAGAACATCCTGAAACGAGTACGAGGAAGATCGCTAGACATTTAAACATTTGCCATCAAATTGTTTGGAGAATTTAAGTGGATTTTTTGTTATATCCTTACCATATTCTAAGAGTACAGGCATTACTTCCCATTGATTTTACAAGGCGTGTGACCTTTTGTCAGTGGTTTCTTCAAAAAATTACACAAAATCCGCAATTTGAATCAATGATTCTGTTCACGGACGGAGCTAGTTTTTCTCGAAATGCCATTCAGAATTTCCACAATAACGGTTGCCTTTGCTGCTTGAGGATGTTCCGTTAGTAATAAGAAACAATATGTGGTACATGCACGATAGTGCACCAGCACATTTCAGTGTAGCGGATCGTAATTATTCACAAACTGTTTATCCAAATCGTTGGATTGGCCGCGGTGGGCCCCAAGAATGGCCACCAAGGTCCCTAGACCTCAACAGTTTAGATTTCTTTTTATGGGGCTATCTTAAGAGACTAGGGTACACAAGTCCCATGCACACTGTAGACGAAGCAAGAGAAAGAATAAAAAACACTCCAGGGATATTTCAACGAGTGCGCAATTCCATGAGAAGGACGGCGGACGCGTGCATAGTAAGTGAAAGGTGCCATTTTCAACAATTTTTGTAATGATTTCTTTGGTTTTAATGTTATGTTTATGTTGTCAGTTGTTGTTGTTCATTACCCCTAACGTGGACAATAGAACGGTTTTTATTTTTTTACTCTAAAATGGGGCATCGAAGAAAAACAATTCAATAGAGATCATTTGTTTTAACTTGAACGGGGAAGTGAAAAATAGTTTTTATTTGGCAAAAAACCATTGGCGCACCATTTTTTTTCCTAAAAAATATCGAAGTCAGTACCCATACGCACGCTACTGTTAAAGCTCAAAATTATTTTTGCATTGAAAAAACTTTCACTACTTACTAAATATCACTGAAATATCTGAAGCGGTTCTGAAAATATTAATTAATTCCCATTCTGTTCCTAAAACCTCAACACCCCGAGCTTTTGTAAGGAAACATTTTTGGATCACACTTTATAAAGGAAACTAACATTAATTTTTCATGTAGATTCACACCCTTAAATATTTGCACATCATTAAGGAACACCCTATATATATATATATATATATATGTTATATAGAGTGCTTTTAGTAAAGCTGAATTGAAATTCAACGTAGATTTCAACTTATCCGAGTAGTTTATCATGTAATACATATTGGCTCAGCTTGGGGAGAACCCTGTACATGAACAACTTTGATATACTTAAGCTTTATAAAAAAAATCATTAAATTTAATTTCATGGAGTAGAGAGGAGATAGACAGCTCTCTCAAAAACGTTCCCAAACTACAATATGTACAGCGAGAGCGAAAATAATGAGAAAAGTGAATATTTTCAATAAAAGGTGAGTAGAAGATCGAAAAAAGTGAGTCGCCAGTATCCCTGAGCTGGTCATGTTCGCAGAGATGGAAAGCAAGCAGATCTCACCCAGCTCCAACTTCTGTAATATTTTGTTAGTTTTGTCTCTCTGGTTGTCGTTTTGGGCAAGACGTGGTTTATTGAAAGTATGTGCTTAGCTTCTTCACGTACATGAACCGTCGTGAGTTTTTCAATATCCCCAAACATTTAATGTTATAATTTAATTAAGTCAATAATTAAACTAATGTGCCGATATAAGGTCAAGATATGACTGCGGATTTTTTCCAAGTCCCACGCCGTGTTATTATGCATGGCCTACTATTTACACAGCGCGCGATTTCGTATATAATCTCTTACATAAATTCACGTAATTGAGCGTAAAACTCAGTTTTTGTTCTATGCGGTGTACTTATACATATTTATTAGGGGTTATCTGTCGATGAATATATGAAAATAATTATTATAATGTTCAGTCGAAAACACAAAAGAATTGTTATTTCATTTATGCTGAATTGTATGAAAGCTCTAAAGAGATGATGAAATTAATATTTTTCAAGGCAACCTCATTGAAAAAGAATAATGTTTTTATAACAAGGCGATGTAAAGGGCAATCCTAAAAGCTTTGTGAATTTTATGACGGATGATGCCTATTTGTCAAATTACATGGGTATTGACGTGTCTGGGTATAGGCAGCACAAGAAGACCCTCTTTTTCATTTATGAAATTAGTTTTGCTAAAATAAAAATTAAACATGTGACAGAAACTTTATCTCACTGACGAATTATACGCAGATGTGCAAATGTAAGGTGCAAGATATTTCTTACATATTATCAGTCACTACCATACATTTTTCAACACCAACCAGTAGTCTCTCACTCACATCAATCTATAATGCAGCGATGATATCTCTATTTAGCAGCAAAATTTCATGAAACTATACCTAAAGATTTAAATTTCGGAAATTATTTTAAGAGAAATTTGAGAAAGTGGCTGCAGTCTTTATCTATGACAGATTCATAAGCTCATAAATACAAATATCAAGTAATTTTATAATAAACTGTGACTAATGCTTGCCGTTTTTTATAATTTAAATTCTACAGTTACAGCACGAAATTCCATGCACAGGCAATGTCTGCTATTGGGCCTGTTTTTGTTTGCTCATGTTGTTTTTCTTTGTACATTGAATGAATAAGTATTATTATTATTATTAAGGCAAATGTATGCATATAACATTAAGACCGGACAGATATATGAAATAAACAGCTAGAAAAAGTCGGCAAAGATTCACTGAGATTGCTCATTACTTGAATATCTCGGTGTTATCTAAAATCTCCAATAATTTCTGGAAAGCAGTTCAAGCAAAATTACAGTACTGAACTGTACTTTCAAGTAGTTGTTGCATCTCAATTTTCTAGGGTGAACACAGCTTCTACTATTAAACAAACTCAAGCTTGGTTTTACATATTCCATTCTAGTTTTGAATTATCCTTCATTTTTTTAATGTCTGCGCCTACGGAAATTCATTCACATTGTCTGAATATGATGGAAGAGTTTGACAATGATATCAAGACACAAAACAGTCTATCTTGAAAGTTGATTGACAGTTGATTGTCGACTAACTGGTAGGTCGCTTGTCACGGGATGGCGGAGATCCGGGTTCAAATCCCGCCGGCGCCCAGTTTTCCCTCCATGCAAGTTGTTGTTTTCGATCAAAAGTTGCCTGTAGGTATATGTAATACATAATATGCGGACTTATTTTGACAACTCTCCTGTCACTTGATACCCAGAGACCTGTTCTCTAAGTTAAAAGAACGTTTGATACGGCGATTCGGTCTTGACGACGTGGTGAAAAGTTTCCCAAAAGTTAAAAAAAACAAACTATCAGAAGTGAATGGAAATTATTACATATTTTAAAGTTAGTATATTAAACACTAAGTGAGATATTGACTCAGAAATTTGCTTACACTATATTCCATGGCAGCATATTAAACTTTTTGAACTGTACTGTAAATATTTGTAAATCTGGATATGGATCATAATGAAGAGAACACGAACTTTCATTTGATGTAATAGAAAACTGTCATTGTATTTTTATTTGGAGCATTTGGTTAACATGTGCAAACTTTGATAAAAATAACCTTATATAATGCCACATTATTGCAAGTGATCAGATACGGTTATTTGTCGTTTTGAATGTATCCTTTGAGTAAATACCCTTCAAATGCCTTCCTACAGACAAACTAATATCTGATTTTCACTCAACAACCACATAAACTTATGTAGCACACATCTGTATTCGAATGCTAGACTTATTTTGAGTTAGACCCAAGTGATCTTGAGATGACCTCCATATGCCCGCATAGTGACTAATTGTCATAAAATGATCCTCTGAAAAGTCAACAAGCAACGTTTGAGCGATTTTTATATTTTAGATTTTTGGCTTTTTCAGCCGTTATTGACCAATTTTCAAAAAGATTTTTCGTCCTTGACGTAGTAATAACCTTGGGTAGTAAGTTTATCTTAATCCGAGCAGTACTTTTCATGTTATTGAATGGCCAAGGATTACCGGAAATGAGAAATGGTTTTTCGTGTTGTATATGTCATATAACATCCACAAGACATAGTATCCCTCTTTCGAAATTTTTCGCGATTACAATACTTCCTCGCTTAGTGGCGTAGGAAGTAAAAATAAAAAGTTAAATAAACCGGCTATACAATGTTTTGCCAAATAATGTACATTTCCGTATAGTTTCCTGGATCTTCTAGTAGAAACATTGACAAATAAGTTATTGCAGAGGCTGGATCTTGAAACACTTGACTTTGCTACCTCTTAAAATTTCGTTTTGCATATCCTGCTACAGAAGGAAATATTTTAGTGCTACTACGAGCAAATGTCAAACCGTCCATTCATGAATTTGGTTTTCCCATTCATCCCAGGCGTCCATCCCAAATACTACGAATATTAGGTACCTACGTTTCATTCACAAAAACCAATACCATCATTCTAAAATCCATATAATGACTTTGACCACAAAAGTTAATCTGCCACAGGTAATCAACAAAGGCAACCGGAAATCAGGCTTAGGCTCAAACATGGTTTTCCCAATGTGTCTAATGAACATTTTGAATCTATATTTTTAATTCAGAATTATAATTCTGCAAAGAGATTTCTGAGAGTAAACATCAAATGCAGAATGATACCTCAAGTTAATCCGGTGACAAATAGTCACTTAATCATTTAATAATTGTGGTAGGAAGGTCGAGTAGAAAAATGTATTTTTTATGGAAGTTTCAGAGAAGATGCTTTGTTTTGGAAAAAAGTGATAATAACATTCCTCTAACATAATAGTGCATTTCGACCGCCACAGACCTGGATCAATTAGTTATTGGTAAAATCTGTTTTTATTAGAATTTTCTTATATTTTTTAATCAAGGGTGTTCCGGCAATTTAGCAAACGCGCCAACTGAGTATAGGAAGAATAAATAATAGATCTAGATTCACCTATAAGTATCTGGATATTAATCTGCTGTAATTTTTGTTAACCTCGTACTAATTAATGTGCTAAAAAAGGCATAACATGAACAGACGAATGTGGAAATCAGAGGTTCGTATCTAATATGTTAATAAGGGAGTCAATCAAAATAATAGGTACCATTCCAGTTTCCAATAACAATAACATTTATTCACCAAAACACAATTGGTAATAAATCATATCAGGATGGTCAAGGACAGAAAATTGAATTCATAATACCTGTAGGAAGGTAAAGATGGAATATACACATTGAAAGCAATAGTATAAAAAAAGTAAGAATGAAACATACACAAACTCATTATAGGTACTACATTACGTGGATTTGATGAGAATAGGATCAACACTATAAAATCATTGATCAACTGAAAAGGGCAAAGAGATAAGAGATAGCAAAGTGGTTTTTAGAAAACTTTCCTGGAAACTCTCGTTACTTGTGAAACTTATGCTGTAGTTAGTTGCCACCTTGTCTTATTGCGTACACTCCCTATCTTTGGTGGTCAATAATTGAATCAAAAATGCCAACACCACATTTTTGATCAATGAACTCACGAATTAGATTGTTCCTTTTCATCCGTATACGGTATAGATTTCTTTTTACATTGTATTATATGAACAAAACTGCAGGTTTTTGTATTGTGAGAATGTGCTCTTCACCTTTACTCCGACTCAGTCCAAGTAATAAAGAAAATAACCAACAGACTGCAGATAGGAAATGTGGTTCTTCGAACTCTTAAAAGAACAATAATAATTTGTTGCAAATGTAAATGCGAAGGATGAAAGTAGTTATATATCTGAAGCTTCTCTTTGGGTGGAGAGCAATAAGAGGTAAGAAAAGAGACGAAAATACGAATAAAATAACTTGAAGGTTCATTAGGCTCCTCATACAAAATAATCCCACACCACAACTGGTTCTTTAGACTGAAAAAAGGTAATGTGCGTTGCGAAGGTAACGAATTTTCAATAAAAATCAAAGAGGTTTGTGTGATACCTTTCATTCCATTCGCAATCAGTTACCTGTTACAAATTGCACTACATGTTTGAACATTTTTGCCTGTCATTCACATGTCTCCTTGGGCTGTGAAGAACCTGCCGAGGAGGATCATTTCTTATAACTAATAAAAAGAAATAATTTTTTCTTCTACCGGGTTACACGAAATTAAAACGTGTCGGTTGGTATTCCATTAAGGATTATGGTACATTAAAGACAAACTTGGGTTTTGTGAAATTAAACATGTAGCACATTCTCATTGAGCAATGTTTGAGCTCAGTTTGTCGCAAAGGTGAGGCCTAGATAAGCTCGTTCCGCGACCAGTAAAAGGGTTGAGATGTCAGGACAGCTGGTTGTTTGTCGTATTTTCCCGATAACCTGGAAGCAAGGGGATGATATATGAAGCAGCGTTAAACTCGTATCCATTGTTATGGTATTTTGGAGATAGGCTTACTTAATTCTACAAACATGTATAACGCATAGGGTGACAAGCTAACTTGAAGATGTCGATTTTGCTTCCAGTTTAGTCGATTGCCACATAAAGACTGCTGTTCTGTCGATCAAGATGACAAACAAGAACAAGAAGGCCATGATGCGTACTATCGAATTTGAAGTTACTCATATAGTTATGCAATAATTGCGTATACTACTAGAAACAGGAAAATTATAATTATAATCAGAAACACAATTCTTTGTTATATTTTTAGTCCTATAAATAATTATAAAGGAATTGATGTATGGATATCCATTAAGATCACTGTTGCGCTTACACGGCTTCTTGTGGTGCATTATCTGTAGCAAACAATTACTTGATTTATTGGATACACACACAATAACCTTTCAAAATGCATTTACTATATTGATATACAGACAGCATGCGTTACTTTTCTATTAGAGTCAACAGTCAATAGTGACATTCTTCTTGCTTTCACCACCGTCTTACCTTTTATGAGCTAATGGTTTTACAGAAGAAGTAAAAAACAGATAGAATGAATTATTACTTCGAGGTTCTTGCCTATATCGAACGAAAAAATGAAATAAAAGTGGTGGCAGTTGTTTATTGTCACAATCTTTAACATTGGGCTTTATTCTTGCACTGTCAAGCGAATGAACGGATTTTAATAGAGATGTCGTTGGACTTTTGTAGCTCCCAATATCTCGAATCTCTTTTTTAGACTAAGATTAATTGTATTTAACTTTCACCGTCTTCTGCCCATCCACCAACTTTTCTCACTTCCATCATAATCTTATCTTATAAATTTCTTTTTCTCACCCATTGTCAACCTATATTCATATAATATTTTATAAATTTTTGTACTTTTACATCGATGAAAAATGAACCAGGAAACATAATAACCTTACAGCCTCTCAAAATTGCAGACCTTCTAATTCAGCTTTTGTTATTCCTGTTAGGGGAATAACATGTAGATCTTATTGTCGATATTTTTTGTATTGATAGGAAACGTATCTAACAGTGCTCATATTTATATATCTCATTAATTGATCTGGTTTCAATAATTCCGGGTCTTTTTCATATCTAGAGTAAAAGTTAACCTTCTATTATTCCTACATAGGACTATTGAAAAATAGAACGTAAAAATAAGAATGCTTCACATGCAAAAAATAGCGCGGAATATTTTGTAGGCGGAGAATAGTTTGTTGATTTCGTTTTTCATTAGTAGAGGAAATGCAGCATATTTCGAATACTGCAGGTAACTTGGAATTCCTAGTTATCTAAATAAATGTCGTAAATCACACGAAACCACAAGTTCTAAAAACAGGACGGTATATTGACATTTCCTGCTACCAGCCACTCGGGAACGAGACGTCTACTTTGAAAACTTGTTATGCAAGAATGCAAGCATTCATAATCGTTTACTATGTCACGTAAAATCTTCATTGCAATTATTTGAACTGTTATGAGTCATTGTTAGCTTATAATTTTATTTTGATTTTGTGAATATATGTAGGATTAAAAATGTGACATGGAATTTTATGTTAGAATGTCATGTTGTTAATTTGAAATACCGAGAGTGAATATGATTTGGAATATTCCAAATTTAATGTAAATATTTACGGTATAGGTACTAATTCCTCTGTGTTTTTTGGAAATATCAACATCCCACAAATACAAGAAAAGAAAGTATTGTGGGTTCACGCTGCCTGTAGTGGTTATGAATCCGGTGTGTATATCTGTGATTATTGTAAAAACAGTAACTAAGGACACTAAACTATACTACTACTAACCTAAGTTCAGGCTAAATGCTGATTTATGATTATCGTGATTGGTAACTTAATAATTAATAATTATAAGCTATTTTGTTAAAAAGATTAATTACCAAAGTCTGTAAAATGGTTACAAAGTTGTGAAATTTATTAGTTTCTAGGAAAGAGTGTAATCTATTGTCAAAAAAAGGTGATAATAATTTGGAATACTATATTCCAAATTACCTGCATCCTAAGTAAATTTACGATTTTGAAGTTTTTTATTTTGATAAATATTTTGATGGGGTGACTGGTTTTTGTTTTGTTTGATTGAGTAAAATTGGATGATTTCCCAATAATTTAATGCATTTTTCATTTTTATCCCGTTTGTCATACAATTCATTTCCAAAAAACAAACCAGTATTCCATATATGCTGCAGTTCCTTTAAATCCATTCTGTAACCTAGCAATTTTCAGAAAAATAATCGCATTGATTTTGATGTAAAGCTCATGATGTTTTAGCTGATATTCCTTTAAAATTTAGGATATATGGTGTAATCCTTAGAGTCAGTATAAAATGCATGTTCCTTTACATTATCGGAAACTTGAATGGAAATTTTGACGAATCGGATGTAGGATAGTTTTTGCCTAAAAACCGTATTCCCTTAAACCAGTCCTACCAATAAAAACAGTTTTGACCGACATTGGTGTCAGCGGAATGAATTATATGACCAAAAAATAATCATCTGGTATCCATAATTCGGGAAGGTATTTAAAATACAAATAGAAATATGTAATTTATTTTGCAGTATAGCCCAAATCCAGCATTGTAATGCCTTCCTTTCCGCAAAAAGTCCAGAAAAGATGGAATGCAATGAAGATTCCAACTTTTCTGCACAATCACAGAAAGGGGGTTACCATTAGCTTCCGGTAGCTCAGTCGGTGGCATGAAGACATCTACAGGCGTGTAGCTGTTTGTCAACCATGGCATGGCTAGAGGATAGAAGAACAAACAGAACACAAAAATTTAACAGGTTTTATTTAACTAGAAAAGCACTTTCATTACATTTGAAATTGAAATTTTAAAGAACAAAATAAAAGATTTAAATCTTTGGCGCTGTTACAAACTCATCCACTTATCTTTCGCTAAGCTGGTCCATTTTGACTGGACTGAAGCGAGGATGGCTAGGTGCTTCAAGTGGAGGTCCCAGTTATGAGGGGTGACCTCACATTTAGTGGCTTCAAAACTAGATGTAGGCGAACGATGCAGTGAAGTTGAACTTAAACGTGATCTTCATCAAGGATGAAGCTGTAAGTGATGGCGCAGCCAAGGAACATGCACGGCAAAGTGATAGGCTAAGCAATAGGTAAGCCAAAGTCAAAGACAAAGGAAGGCAAAGTCAAAGACAGAGGCTGGCAAAGTCAAAGACAAAGGCAAAGGCAAAGTCAAAGGCAAAGGCAAAGGCAAAGGCAAAGGCAAAGGCAAAGGCAAAAGCAAAGGCAAAGGCAAGGGCAAAGGCAAAGGCAAAGGCAAAGGCAAAGGCAAAGGCAAAGGCAATGGCAGAGGGGGTGGCCCCAATCATTTTATCCTATTTGGACACACATTTTACAAAATACTAGCACATGGTGCTATATGACCTCATGCTACAGAGAACAAAATTCTCAGCTCTTGTTAGATCGGTGGCTCAAGTGAAAAGGAAGCGCGAGGAAGATCACAGATCAGGAACTCCGCATCAAGCGCGCTAAAAGCGGAAATGTTTCCAAGTAAAAAAGCTAGAGATGGGATAAGCTAGAGATGGGATTAATGAGTTGCGATCCTGAAATGAAAATCGAGAAGTGATTTAATAAATACAATCGGACGGTGAAACCGTTACAGCATCCCGTTAACATCGTAATTGTATGCATTGTGTTTGAAGAAAAAATGGCCGTGGATATCCAGTTGCTAAACGGAACCATTTCTTATTGCGAATAATTAAATAATGACGAAAACCCGAACGATTTCGAGAAAGTGATACGCTATGAATTCATTCTTTTTGGATTTTCGAATCATTCTGATCTCCGATAGTGGAATTTCTACATAGGCATTCATATATTACATTCACTTAACATAGAAATTGGTTGTGGTAATCATTCGGCTTTGTTACATACAAAATATACGAAATCAGTAGCTGAACTTACTATGATAACGTGAACTAAAAATTAATAACCACTGTCACTGACATACTCGCTGATATGGTGATGAATTATGCAGGTGTTTCAGAAATACGGTAGAAGGTAGCCTGTGAAAACCAAAAATTTGCCAATTTTGAGCAAGGTTGCAACTCTAATTCAGATTCCTAACGACCTCAAAAATCGCAATTTTTAAGCATTGAATATACCCGCACGGCAGCTCAGATCAAATCTGTTTAAACAGTTTTTTAAAATAAATTGTAATTTTTTTGCCTAGACAATTGTATTCAAGCTTTTTGAGTCATTCCAGAAAAAAAGCTGCCATTAAGTTTTCTCTAAAGCTGACCATTTTCAAGTTTTATTTTTATTTCAAAAAAGCCCTAACAACGGGTATATTCAACGCTTAAAAACTTCGCTAAGACACATAATTTTGTGTATCTAGTTAAAGAGATAGAATCTTGCTCTACAAGACTACGAAGTACACTTACAAAGATAACGAAAAAATAAACGTAGGTCCTAAATTGTCCTATTACCAAGAAGTACGGGGTGTAGTAGATTTCTACGCCACTGACGAGACTGAATAAGGGCAAAACAAAATAATTTTCATATTTAAACTTGATTAACAGGTTAAATTATTTTATACAGGGCGATTCACAAGTCGCGACCAAAAACGAAACATCATACACAGGATCGCATTTCAAGTGGGGTCTTCTATGTAACATTTTTTCCTCGAAGGCTTCATTAAGATTCGGGGTGCTGAAGTTTAAAAATGAAAAACAATTTTTTTTAATATCTTCAAAACTGTCAACTACAATGAACTAAAATTTGATATATGGGTTTACCTAAATACTGTCCACATTCTAAAGTATGTACTTTAAATTAACGTGCACCAGTGGCGGAGATACAGGGGATTAGTTGCATTATTTTTCCAAATAAAAATTCTACGCCAGTAGTATTTTCGAAACCCGCAATTATTTGAATTGTACCTTCAATTTGCTACAAATATTTACTTTTGTGTTTTTTTTCTAGAGTGCATGATTTTCATAAAAATACAAAGAAACAAATTAGTAAAAACGTTTGGGGTAGGTTGGCGTCTACGTTGATACTCCCGAGAAGCCGCTGAAGCATTTTCATTACAGATTTAGATTAAAATGCGATCCTGTGTATGATGTTTCATTTTTGGTCACGACTTGTGAATCACACTGTATAGATTTTCCACGATTCAAATCAATTTCTCTCGTTTCCAGAACCAGTATGACAAACATTTAACATGGGATGAGTAGCGTAGAAAATAATTTACCTTTTTTTCTTCTGTAACCTTCAAAATTTACAATTTTTACGCCACTGGGGTAATCTCGGATAGATAGACTTTCATCTCCAACAGGCACATACACACCCTTTTCTTAAAACTAATCAAACACAGGAACAAAAAACAACTACTGTTGTATGAAAATATAGTTGAATAAAAAAGAAAAGTAGGTTACATATTAAATGTGATCTGAAAAATTGATTTCTAAATAAGCGAGAGCGGAGAGAAATTAATGTCACAGATGTTACCTATCAAGCTAAAATTGCTACAAATGATTGAAACTGGTGATTTAGTCAAAATATTGGCACTAGCACATTCACAATAAAACAAATTTCTATTGTTATGAGTGTAGGGTGGAGTGGGGTAAATGTAACCATAGGGCAAGTGCAATCAGGCCCTATGCATTTTTTTATAACGTTTTTTAACATATTTTCTCCGAAATTCAAAACTATGACCCTTTATACCCATATTACTTTTTATTTGCCTCTTAGTTCCAGTTTCAAAGATTTCACTTTTTTTTTACTTTGACATTTATAATAATTTTGTGAGTGCCTTTTAGGAATTGTAATTCCCTATTACTACTTCAAATATTAGTATTTAGTTGTAATATTTTGCTCCCCTAGGTAATTTTCGACAAGGATTTTGATTCTGCTATCAGATTCGACTTTCGATACTTAAGGAAAAATTTATGCCGGCGATTACATTTACCCCACCGAAATGCGCATATGGGGTAAGTGTAATCACTGAGACTGGGGTAAATGTAATCACTGGTTATATTTGCCCCAGCCTCCTACTTCTTGAGTTTTTAGCCTATAACCTATCACCTTCCACTATTGTTACAGGCTAAGAAGACCATGATGTAGAAGAAATAGTGTAAATACTTACCAAAGACTTTAATTAATTATAAAAACAGTGTGGAAATCTTTAAAATAGGACCTATCTAATACTAAAGTTGATACAGTTCCTAGTCAGTTCCTTCAAAATGGTGAGAGTGTATAAGAAAAAGAAACAAGACCCTTCTTACAGTGCTGAACTTTTAAAAGATGCGATCAGAAACATCCAAGAAAGTGGTATCAGAATTCGTGGTGCTGCGTAGAGGTATCAAATCCCATTTTCCACTCTTCAAAAACACCTACGAGGAACCCGAGGATCAAAAAGATAAATTAGTGAATGCCATAAAAACCATGGAAAAGTGGGGTTGGGGGCTCAGCAGAAAAGAAGTCTTAGAATTGGTGGGAAAGTATGTTACGAAAAATAATATAAAAACGCCATCTAAAGATGGAATACCTGGCGAGGATTGGTTCTTATCATTTAAAAAAAGGCACAGGCTGTCTTTAAAAAAGCCACAAGGACTGGAGTATGCCAGAAAACAAGCCAATGATTCATTTGTGATTGAACAATATTTTGACATGTTAAAAGCAACCTTAGAAAATAATAACCTGCAAAATAAGCCTTTTCAGATTTATAACATCGACGAAACTAGTTTTACGCTCGACCCAAGTAAAACTAAAATTGTGGGTCACAAAAATGCAACTGCCTCAAGAATAACCACCGATCATGGGAGAGACAGTTCTCATGGGTGGCAACGCAAATGGGGATAAACTGCCTCCATTAATTGTTTTTAAAGGAAGAAATATATGGGATACCTGGATGGCTCCCAATGAATCCACCTTTCCAGGCACTTCTTATGCTGCGTCGCCAAATTGTTGGATGGAAACCGAAATCTCTGTAAACTATTTTACAATAACTGTTATTCGCAACGTTGTACCTGAAAGACCAATCCCGCTTTTGTATGATGGACATTCAACGCACTTAGACCCAAAACTTATCGAGGCGGCTGTCGAAAATGATATAATTGTACTTAAATTACCTCCACACTCCAGCCACCTAATGTCACCCAGGGACCTAGCAGACTTTAAGAGTCTTAAGTCACGGTGGGATTTAAAATTAGCGGAGTACCAAAGAAAACATGTGGGTGTTAAAATGCCAAAGAAAGATTTTTCGGCACTTGTGAGCACAATTTGGAAAGAGACAGATCCAGCTTTACTGACATGGGGCTTGCGTAGAGGAGGAATATGCCCTTTTAATAGATCTGTTATCGAATGCTCTAAATATGATCCAGAAGCTCTACGAAGATATGAAGAACGTTTGAGACATCCCCAACCTGCCCCAGAACAACCTCTTAACCAGAACCAATAGCAGGGCCAAGTAGACCAATACCATAGCAGAACCAACTAGACCAGAACTAATAGCTACGCCAAGTAGCAGATCATTTGAAGAATTGTTGCTGGAAACAGTGAGACAATCGCCCCGCCCTAACGAAAAAGAAAGAAGAAAAAGCGTAGCTCAGGGAGCTGAAATTATAACAGCAAAAGAAAACATAGGAAAAAAAAAAGTCTGAGCAAGACAAAGAAGATGAAAGATAAAGCAAAGTAAGCGAAAGAATTAGCAAAGAAAACAAAGAAGGAATCAAAAAAAAAATAACACCAAAAAATATTAATGAGAGCTCTTCAGATGAAGACGAACCGCAAATTTTAAGTGAGAGTGAATCCGACGACGCCACCTTTGAGGCTTATGCAAAAAGGTTAGAGGAAGATGAAGAAGCATTAAAACAAGACGAATTGTTTCTCGAAGGGGTAGAAAACCTTAAAATTGGAAACTGGGTTATGGTCTCATTTAAAGCAAAGAAAAGTATACTTTTCTATGCTGGTCAAATAACAACGCTTGATGAAGAATCGCAACCTACCATTAAGTTTTTAAAAAAATCAAACCGAAACGCGAATAGTTCAGTTTTTCACTGGCCTGAACAAGAGGACCATCACTTGGTGGCTGCATCAGATATAGAGCGAGTTTTACCAGAATCCACTTTAGGGCGAAGAGGAGAACTAACTTTTCCAGTATTCTTTGCCCCGTATAACGTTAAATAAATAAACAAAAACATTTCACAGTCTCTTTTGCTCAACTTACCTACGTAATATACTTTTCAGAAAATCTTTGAGTTTTATTCCCTATCATTGCTCCACGAAAAAAGTTCATAACTTCCTTATAAATTAAGATATCAACCTATTTTTTTCAAAAAAACCCAGAATTTTTCATACTATAGTACACTTGCTCCAGATCCACCGGCACTGTAAGCATATGGCAGTTAGGAGCCGTGATTACACTTACCCCATTCTCTGGGGCAAGTATAATCAGCCGACACGTTTTTTTATTTTCTTTTATAAAAAAAACAAAAGCAGGCAAAAAATAAATTAATATGACATTGATTTAACAATGAAATAAGCTTTGTTCCTACTAAAAAATAAACCCGATATCTCTTTTGGTTTTTTGTTATGAAATTTTAAAGTGCCACTATCATTTTATAAAAACTTGCGTCGTTTTAAGTAGAAAAACCATTGAAGCCAAACAGAATAAAACAATTCTTTATTATTATTTCGCTGATCTCAAAACTCCTCAATTCTGGATCTTCAAATTAAACACCTCTTGGGTGGAATGCAAACACCTGAATTTTTAAACAGAATTTGGTGACTTCTGAAAATAATTTATTTAAAAAAATCTGTTTAACAGAATTATATATTGAAACCATACTGCAAAACTGAAATTCGTCGGATCAAAGTCGACAGTGAGGATAATGTAGTATCTAAAACTTATTCTGAGGATGTAATGGTGATATAATTTCGTGTTTTTCTGGCCAAATGAAACCACATAAATATGTGGAACTTATTTTTTATTCACATTTCGGATACCGTGGTCGTCTGAATTATTCGAAAGGCCACAGTAGTGGCTGAAACGTCATTAAAGAGTAATTTCAGTATATGTGGTTACATTTGTCAAAAAAGCATGAACTTTTATTCGATTTGGCTGTTTCACACTGTAAAATCTACTTGGTCAATTTCAGCAGGTACAGTATCAGCGATTCACAAACTATTTCATAGCTTAAAAGAAATCTCACAGTCAGAAGTAGATCAATGGTATTAGATAATGATATAACGTAAACTTTTTCGACACAATATAAACTTGGATACACTCGATTTGATTTGTATATCTAAATATTAAGTAATAGCTTTTATATGGTAATTTTTACAATGACATGGCTGAAAACGACAATACAAGTACAAAATATGTTTTAAAATGTCGGCTGGACCAAACTTTGGTTAGGTCAAATCGACATCAAATCAAGTTTTATAGAAATCTGCCTGCGCTATATGAGTAGAATCTTATTCGTAATCATCCGTCTCGAAATTTGGGTCCAGCTCCTCATTTTTGGTCTAACAATCCTCTCAGTACGGGGATATTTAGTTTCTGAGAAAGGCTAAATGATATTATGATATTTATATCTTCTTACCGCTTAACAACATATTTTTATATACTATTCAAAAATACAAGAAAATTTTGGACTTACCCTCCGTTCATAAAGGTGCCACATTGTTCAGTAATTTATTGACTGAAAAATCATAACTCAGCAGTAATTTTATTTCTACTACTACATATTTGCTTTTCTTTTTAACTTTGTTTCAATCGAAAGCGAATCAGCTTTTGCTCAGTATATGTAAATTACACGCACTTTTGCTAACACGCATTGCAAAACATGTTTTCTTTGCAATGCATAACGGTTACTTATATCAACTGGTATGGAGCCTCAAGGTGGAAGCATTTTTTGAAAAGTGCTGTCCACACATTGAATGACTAATACTCCACGAATAGCTTGAAATAATCTATGGGAAAATGTACCACTGAATAACTTGTTTACCATTAAAATCAAAACTGATATTGAGTTGACACTTAAAAATATTTAAACAGTGCACAGTTCGAAAAGCAAGAGAAGAACGTGGGGTTGAACCCATCTGGGTAATCTGAATCTTGACAGCATATTCTTGGCCTTTCCCTTTAACATAGTAAGCTATACGACATAAACCTAATCATTTTGGCATAAAGTTTCGTGTAAAAAAAGAATATGATGACCCAATAATTTCCAATTTTATGACAAAGGAGTAAAAATGCCACTCTTTCGCAAACGGTTTGGTCTTACCATAGATCCTTTAATATAGTTATATGACGTCAACATCGATAATCGTTTTGTCATGAAGTTTCGTGTGGAAAAGTATGAATAAATAATGTTTAATTTCATGGCAAATAAGCAAAAATGCCACTCTTTCGCAAATGCTTTCTCACAGTTGGTGTGTGTTACAAAATGCACTGTCATTCGATTAATAACCTTTAAATTTAAACAGGATTTTGCATTTTTCAAAAACTTAAATCAATAATTCGCAATAGCAAAGGCAGGCGTTTCTTTATACCCATTCCCTTGTATTATAAGGCTAACGATTGCCATTTTTTTTCACGACACGCTTTAATTCATGCTGAATGTAGAGAGGTAATAATTATGTGGTTGAATGTAATATATTTAGAATCAGTAGTTTTTTGACACGTTATACTTTACCCGGCTCTGTAACTGAATGCAGAAACACGTCTTTAAGAGGCGGTGTTAGATTAGTGCCACAAACTTGTCAAAGAAAACTTTTTCATTTAACGAGATAGACCAATACAAATAAACGATAAAATGAAAAAATCCAAAATGTTTATTCAACTATGTATCTAGAGCGTAATGAGGCGTACATCGATAATAAAGGGACATACATCTATTACGCCGGAGACACGTGCATCATTTTCTCTACCACTAGTATAAGTGGACTTTACGTAAATAAAAAAATAGATAAGTTGACCGTACTATTGTATCATCGGTGGTTGCGCAGTTGCCCAGTAACAAATTAATAATGATAGTTCCCACCAGGGTGCTATTGTGTCCAACTTAGGTTAATTTAAACATCTAGTAGGAGTAGGGCGAATTCTGGCAACTTTGACTCCTTGGTTCTTTTTGCCGATCCCTTAGTATCGCCTTAAGCCACCTACTGGCAGCTGATTATCGAATCAACTAACTCCAGCGATGTGGTGTACCTATGTGGATCGTCTAGCGATATAGCACACTTCCGAGGTGGAGATTCGAACTCGCGAGCCTTCAAATCGTGCAATTAGCAGCTCTAATTCAAACATAGCGCTAAAGTTATCTTACCGTTCTATGGCGTTCTAAAATCGGTAAGTTGTAGATCAAAAAATTTAGAGTAAATATGTTCAGGAGCGTAGGTTTTGATTTGAGTGGTTTCCAACATGCAGGGGATTGTATAATATTGTCTACTAAGTGTTTATATACACTATCATTATCACCTATATATGGTAGTTGATGGATCTGGTACTCCAAAACTCTACACGGTGCCACCTACTGAAATATTTGCCGAGCTGTAGGAACTTTAGCAATTACAATACGAAAACACGAATACATGCCGATCGGCGTTGTTTTTGCCTTCGCATGATTTTTTATGAATAATTTCAATGGCCTGATAAAAGAAATGTTCTGTGCATGTTCTATCACCTGAATAGTATTTTATATAGAAAGTGTGAAAATTGGTGTTTCGAATTCCTGGTGGAAATCTCTATGAATTGACCATCCGAGTTGTGAAAAATGATATGTACGACGTAAGTAATTATGTACTAAATTGGTCCAGTAATGATTGAATCTTATTCAGCAGTTCACCCTGGTCAAACATGGAAACCACAATGAAAGATGGCATTTCCCACGCAAAGTTGTTACCAGTTCATAAACGATTTTGTTCAGCACAAGTTAGTCCCTCTGAACTAGCTACTAATATGTATAAAAAAATGGATTAAGCCAGCCAAACAGGCTCATGTCCATACTCAATAGTCTTAATCAATTTGATAAAGCTAACGCAAGTTTCTTCCCTGCTCTAAGTATCGACCATCTGGCAGCGGTGCTTAACCACACTAGTATAATAACTCGAGAGAACCGGCGATGCAGTCAGAGTCAATGAAACGCAGACACGCAGACATTGCTCAGAGTACGAAGGTTGAGTCGCGGCCGACCGCGACCGCGTGTCGCGTCTACAAATATCTAAATAAATCTAAAATATATAAAGTTTTAAGGGCAAGTGTACGGGAAAATTTTTGATGTGTGAAATATGTACTACTGTAAAATTAATAGGGTTCAACGTATATAAATAAACTGCTGCCAAAAAATGATATAAGCCCCTCCACCTACTATAACCCCCAACCGCCGATTTTCAACTCCTACAAAAAATTTTCTGAAAATGATCAAGAGCCTCTGGAATATCAAAAAAAACGAATGCTCGGTTTTTGTTTTTTTCGTCTTTTTGCTCCTAGCTCCGCTACCGCTGTACTTAATTCCAAATGCTGCAAAGCCTTTGCGTCTCTGGCATAGTAGCAACAATGTGCAAAAATTTCTTTGAAATCCAAGACGACCTTCTCAAGTTATAGGCGGTTATAAGATTAGCGAACAGATCGGCAAACCGACTGACAGCCTATCGTAAATCAGTGGCATAGTTTTTCGTGATGCATATCTCATATTATAACATTCAAAAAACATAATATCTCGTTTTCGAAAATTTTCGCTATTATAATACTTAGTAGAAGTAAAATGAGCTTCAGTGGCCTTTCGGCTATACAAAAAGTCTTATCACACTAAAAAAATGTGGCACGATGCTTGGATCAAAAAATAGGATTACCGAATATTGATATCTAAAGGATGTTGTTTTGTTATTATATTTACATATAATTTGGTACAATATACATTCACATTATACAGGGTGTAAACGTTATGGCAGTCATGATTGAAATGGGTAATAGGGGGTCAAAGCAAGTCAAAAAGTTCATATGACCCATGGTCCAAAAGATTTTTGCCTAAATGGCTTTATAGTTCACAACTTTAAGTGCTTTATATCGAACACAATCATCACAATCTTACTAATATTTATAGTCTAATCTAAAATGTTTTTAAATTGGGTAATTAACAAATAAATGGCATTAAGTTTTTCTAGGTTAAGCCAAAATTTGTAGTCAGTAAGTAAGTTTCATTAAATTATATATTTAAAAGACACATGACAACAGCGCGTCGGTCATTCATCACTCTTATCGAACCGGCAATCGATCGCAAACGGTAACAGTGGTCAGTTATTGTTCGCATACGTCGTCGTGTTAATTTACAATGTTTTCGAATCAAGAGTTCGCCGACATGTTGTTAGTTTATGGTGAAGCTCCTCAGAATTCAAATCTTGCAGCTCAAATTTATCGCGACAGATTTTGCTAACGGGTACACCCAGACAGAAGGACATTTGTGCAAGTGTACCAAAGACTTCGAGATACAGGAAGTGTTCTGCCCACTAATATTCGCACTCGTGAAAGACAGGTTACTGTAGATCAGGAGGAACAAATTTTAAATATCGTGGAAATCAATGCAGATATCAGCAATCGGGAATTACGCGTAGGGGACAATCGCATACCATAGTCCATAGAATCCTAAGGGAAAATTTGCTTTATCCCTATCATGTACAACTAGTGCAAGCCTTGTTACCAGACTATCCTCGCAGACTAACATTCTGTCGACGGACGAATGTACTTTTACGCGAGACGGGATATTAAATTTCCATAATACTCACACGTGGGCCCAAGAAAATCCTCATACCATCCGTGAAGGTCATTTCCAACAACGTTTTAAACTAAATATTTGGGTGGGTAATCTCGACGATCAGGTAATTGGCACTTTCGAGTTACCTTCAAAGTTGTCAGGAAAAGGATACCTTAGCTTTCTAGCCAATAACCTACCAGAACTTTTGGAACAGTTCTTAGACAACATGCCATTACAACTGAGACAGAATTCATGACGGGGCACTACCACACATTTTTAGAGGCGTCATTCAGTATTTGAATGAACATTATCCAAATCGCTGGATCGGTCATAATGCTCCTGATCCTCGAATGGCCAGCAAGATCTCCTGACTTCAATCCAATAGATTTCTGGAATTGGGGAGAACTTAAAGGGATGGTTTATGGGGCTGGTCCAATAACAACTGAAGCACAACCTCACGAAAAAAACTTTAATGCGGCTGAAATAATAAATGGACAACTTCGAGGACCTAGAGTAACAAGAAGATGGGTTTGTCGTAATGAAGCTTGTGTGGAAAGTGGAGGACGACATTTTGAACACATTCTTTAAATACAAAAAAAGTGCAGTGTGGGTTTTAAGAAGAAAAACAATGTATGTGTCAAAATTGTGTTCCCTATTTATAAGTGGGTTTTTTAAATACGTTCAATAAACTTTCACGCACCAGATGAAGCGCAGAGACAGTTAGTGGTAAGTACTTTTTTTAATTTTTTGCATTTCACGAGTACATTATCAAATAATGAAATAATACATAAGATCCAAAAATAAAAAACCTCATCTTTATTTACACTGCGTTCTGTTTCTTAATTTGCCGTAACAATGCCTTTTTTACCCCCATGTTATATGAATCCTTTTGCTCCTTTTAACCCCCTCTAACACCCATTTAAATAATGACTATCATAAAGCTTACACCCTGTATTTCTTGAAATGCAAGTTTTGTAGATACGGCACTCTCGATGGCAGCATCCTGGCTCGCGATCGACAAGCAAGGAAGCACATCAATATAATGGAGAATGTTGTGTACCTATAGGCATACAGAGCTTCAGGGGCGGTTGTATGAGAATATATCATATGTATTTCTACTGTTTCTAGGTGGAACTCATGCCTAGGCAACCAGTATTGCAAGAGAGAATGTCCAGTGCTACTGCCAGAATAACATTCAAACAAAACTTTTGCTGGTAGTGCTCATAACTTATACGCAAGAATAATGATGCACATTCACCATTTTTAACAGATGAAATCAAAATAATGGTAGATGTACTACCTCATTTTTGCACAATAATGCTTCGTAAGACACTAAAGAGGTCTTACATGGTAAACAGATAGCTTTGCTTTCTCTTGTCCTTCATATGGAATCTATCCCAAAACCGTCATTGCAAGCATGCAGTCTTGATGACAATTCTAACAATCATAATTCATAAGCAAGGTCAAACGAAACGCAGTTTCTGCAGCAACTTCCTATACTACTCTCATTATTAAAACCATTTCGGGGTACCCTAAGCAGTTAAATAATGAGATCTTCCAGCAAGATCTCCCGATAATTGGGTATACGATCTTTAAAGCGACATCTTCTTGCGTAAACGAGTCATTGTGGAAAATTGGCGGCGAAGCCTGCGCAATACTCTCTATCATCGCGGGACGATGTAGCAGCCCGGCAGGGTGCTAAATTAGCACTGTCAAAAACATTCTCCTCTTGTGGCTAATTAACCCTCTCATTACTCGGTTACTGCCAGTGCCGTACGGGAATGGATCCTTTGATTATTTAGATTTAGAAGATGCAAATATATTAGTTATTGGAAATATATAAGTAAACTATTAAAAATATAATGCAATGGTCGATGCAGTGTATTTATTTTAGTTGACAGTAGGTGCGAAAAGTTACTCAAAAGGGTAGGTACGTAGGATATCTGAAATACCACTCAGCATCAAAAACGCAATTTCTGTTTATTTCAAAATACTGGATGTGATGGCTGGTTACTATGGAATTAGCAAATCGTCGCAGAAAATAACATCGGTTCGATGTCGCTGATGAGTTCGGTGATGGTGCCTAATATGCGTGACGTCATCGTATCTGGAGGTCCGTTTTTACGGAAACATTCAAATCGTACACTTAACAATCATCTTTAATTGAATCCCCTCTTTCAATTTTTTCGTATACTGTTGAACCTATTGAACTTGGAAACTTCTAAAATAAACACTCAAACAGAAACATCACATACTTTCTATTAAAGACGACGCGCGACGATAAGAAAATATTTAATACGCAAGCGCCATTGATTTTAAAGTTACATCTTCACGAGGAAAAGAGACGACAACGTCGCAGCATATTTTGTGACACTTATCTTGCGAGAGAACGTGAAACAGTGAGGGTCGTAGATAGTTCACAAGATCACGATGTAATTTAATCCATGAAGCTTCTGAATGATAGCTGTGCTATTTTGAGATAAGATTTTAGCGGTTCGTTAGTCAAATGGGTCTTGTGGATAGATGAAAAAAAGCCTTGTTCGGGAAGATGCATGGAGAAAGCTGAACTAAGAAATGAACATGCTGAAGATTTTGTTATAAAGGTCTGAAGTTTAGTTTGATTCAATTCCTTCTCTTCCCACTTATTTGCTTTTCATTTTGCCTGTTGTCAATACTAGACCTGAGATCCATAGCTCAGTGATAAATTGCCAATGAGCTCGAAGCAGCGCTGTATGCGGTTGGTCATGGTTACAGAGACAAAATACAAACGTGTTTATTTTAACCCTTTTTAATCCGCAGAGGAATATTTTGAGCTTGATTTTTAATGTTTTCAACTCGTAGCTATGTACTATGTATATTGTATTTGTTTTTCTTATATTGTGATTGTTGCGACTATATTCTTATACCAATTTTTAGTCAAATGGAAATAAGAATTATTCTATTTTATTCTTCAAATGGATAATCAACAGGGCTTAGGTCCCAAGGTAGAAAACGAACGAAAGCAGAGCAGAAATATCCTCCATCAGAGGTAATAAAG